ACTCCACTCTGAACTCACTGCTGCAGTACAGTCTTCCCTTGCTGCTCCCCAGGGCAAGTCAAGAGGTGAGTGCCAATGATGTTGCTTGTGGTCCTATGGCAGGACTAGTGTCAAGTATGCTAAGGACTTTGGTAACCCTAATAGGAATGGAGTGGGTGTGGCTTCCCATATGTCTCCCTTGAACTCACAATCTAGGGGCATGATGGCTTCCATGGTGAGTCTGTGCTGCTGGGTTAATTGGGCCTCCATGAAGCCTCCTTAGGTCATAGATCCTAATGAAAGGTATTGGCATCTCCTCAGCCTCTGAGAAAGAGCAAGCCTTCACCCCCTTTTTTGGCTTGAATAGAGACCACTGTAATATGGTCAGGTGTTGTGCAGTCCCCACACTGAAATGCACATCCCAAAAGAACCACCATCACCACCCTCAATTCAGTGTCTCTCTTTTTTCCTGACCCCCATCCTAGACCCTTGTAGTCACTTTTCCTCTCACCCACTTCTGTCCCTCCTCTAGCTAGCTAGCTAGCTAGCTAGCCTGCCTGCCTCGCTGAGGATTGGAATTTCTCTGCCTTTTGTGTTCATGCCCTCCTGCATGTTTGTTTTTATAAAATCAGTTGAAGTGGGATTTCCAGGTGTGTGCAGAGTCCAGAGCAACCAATCAGGGACTGGTGCCTGAATTGCTTAATCTGCACCTGCTGATTAGTTCTGTCTCTAATGTAACTAAAAGTCTGAAAGCAGGTGTTTGAGCACTTTGTGGGGCTTCTGAGCACTTTTGAGAATCCCAATTGAGTAGCTAGTCCCACATCTATCCAACTCAACCCCTAGAATGCTCAGGTAACTTGAGTGCAAACTGCTGATCTGCTCTGAAAATCTCCTGTGCCCCCAAAATAATACAGTGAGCCCCCTTTTGCAGCATGCGATTGGTCATTTACACCTGTGCCAGCTTTTGAACATTTTAATGCTAAAACTCAAATTCCTACTGACTCCCTTGAGAGCTATAGATGAACGGGGACTGCAGTTCCTGGCTCTGAGATGGCTCGGAAGGCAATATCCTGTGGGGTGTTGGGGCATGCTTAAAAAGATAGGCATTACTCTCTGGACTTCATAAAAAACATGTTTTTGGGAGACATAGATTTGGTACATCAACCATTTGGGATCTCAGAGAGAAACTTAAAGGGGATTTTGAATGTCAAACACAAAAAAATGATGCTTTGCTTTTAGTGGGAAAAAAAATCTTCCTGAGCACTGTTAGTAACAGATTTTTTTTTTTTTAAAGGTAGTTCATTGATGTTCCTCTCAGGAGAACTAGTCAACAGAGTAGGGGTCTGATCCTACTCCTAATGAAGTCCATAGCTTGAATGACTTTGCTAATTTTACATTAGGCATGGGGTGCTATTGACTGAACCTAGAATAAATATTTCAGTTCTACCAGCAATGTATTTAAAAGCAGAACAGTATTTGACTATCTTTGTGCTTCAAATTTTCATTTTAAATAGGACTATAACATTTCTACCCCCCATCTGCATAAGGTAAATTTGGTACAGTGCTTAAGACATCAAAACTGAAAAACATTTTATTTTTCAAAATAAAAACTAACCCCTTTTCAGAATCTAATCTTAAAATGATCCACTTGTCTACATTATAGTAACTTAATCCAAATCATCCCAGATCTCCAAACCACCATTTGCAATGTGTAGTTTGCATATTACCTAGCTTTCACTGCAAAATGATTAAAGCCTGAGGAAATGCGCAACCAGTAATACAAGCTCATAATATTATATTAAAAATGACTATGATATAATAGCACAGTGGTTCAGGGAGTACAGGTGTGAATCTCTGTGCATACACAGACATAACAAACTTATAAACTCATTTATGCTTTGGAAACCAAACACCTTTTTCTAGATTTATAAACATCAATCTATATTGCACACAGAGCACAAGCACAGTGACTTGCTCACTCAGTGTGAAAATATCAGGCCAAATACTATGTATAGTTCTTACTCAAGCCAAAACTTCCACTGGGAGGTGGGGGTGGGGGGAGTGTGTGTGTGTGTGTGTGTGTAGGAACTGCACCATCTGGCCTATTTAGACCCCAATTCTCCAAGCTAGTTGGCCTGCACAGAGCAGTTTGCAGGGTTAGAGCCTCAAGTGTGCACTACAGGCCAACTGACGTGCTAAATCTTAAGGTTCTAGTGGAGATTTTATGCCTAGATATCATTTTTTAAATACTCCTAAACCCAGATTATGCAAAAGATAGCAATGGGCACGATAGAGTTCTGAAAAGTTTGTCTTGAGTACTACATGCCAAATTCTGCCCTGGTTACAGACACAACTCCTGACGTATGTGAGAAAACTTGTCCTATGTGTGTTACGAGTCAGCACAGGGAGCTGCAAACTGCTGTCACACTCCTCAGAAATAGTAAATAGCTAATGATTTTTCCTTTCTATGTACGGGGAAGATCCTAAAGGGGGAAGTAAGATACATTGATTCAGGTCTTTGAAAATGTCAGACACATACCTGACTATAAAAAGGTCTGAGGGGGCCTCTCAGGACGGGGGCAGATATGTTTGGAACAAGTCACCTTTCCCAGGTCTGGAGCTTCTAGTACAGGGGCTAATGTGCATATCAGATTTTGTGTACAACTCATATTTTTCGGAGTATTTTATTTAAATTGCTGGAGCTGGTATTTTTCTCTAGCATTTGATAAATAATGTTTACCAAATGGTAGAGAATGAACATGCAACGTATGTTAGCTCTGACAGCAAACTGCCACCATCAGATATTAACCCATAGGGTTGGTTGGAACAAAGAATGCCAAGTCTGTAGCTTATATGTCCATATACACACAGAGTCCGAATGTAATATCCTTAGACTTCCATCTCCCCCATCAGAAATCACCCATATAATCTGTGGAGATGAAGTGGCTCTTCTGCTGTTTTGCATGTCCATTATATGTAATAACGGAGTCTGGAAACACCACCTAACTATGCTTGCTTGCTTTCTCTCGCTTCTTCCCCCTGCCCTACCCTCTCTGGCAGGCAGGGAGGCAGGCAGATGTTGCAGTGTCTGGTTAGGGGATGAGTGATCCTTCAACATCCTAATGCGGTTTGAGTTCTCACTGCTTCACTGGATAGCCTGCTAAGTAGTAGGTGGGCCAGTAGAAGTGGCGAAACTGGCCTGCTCCATGGGATACATGAGGGGTGTCATTGTGCAGAATCAGGCCCTCTATATTTACATGCAAGGTCATATTAGCTCTGAGAGACACTTGGTCTATAGTAAGGCAGAGCAAGCATATTAAAAGAAAAGTCAAAAGAACTGAACCTGCCCTGTATATAAAACTTAAAAGCTTACTACCCCTAGCACGAAAAAACTTCTTTGCACTGTCATGAAGAACTATTCACCCTGATAAGGATTGCTTATCACCTTTTCTAAGCTATTTTTGTTTGCTATATTTTGTAGTGTAAGAATATGTTACATAATGAAATTTAAAGTGGAAGGAGCCATACATTAATAGGAATAAGCCACATCAGGAGGTGCATTAGTACCATAAGCTTTTGGTGCACTTGGCTGAATGACTCTGATCACTTCAGGCATGCACCAACAGTCAGCTAATGTACACCCTGTTGTGGCGCATTGCTTGTTATATTTGTACGGTCTGCTTTTAAAAGCAGGTGTTAGCTTCCAAGGGAGAGAGATTTCAAGGGCTTCAGGATAATACTTCATAAAGAAAATATTTCGCCCCCCTATGTAGTTGTCTTCACTCGCCTTGTAAATTAGTTCTCTTTTACATTTGTGATCATGGAGAATTGTATCTTGTGACAAAGGTTTTTGTTTTAAAGTACAGAACTAAGAGTTCATTTTAAAACTATCTGTTAGAAAAGCAATCTCTGTGTGTGCAAGTTAGATTATCTGTATTGCTCTAGACAAAAGTGAACAGCATATTTCATACTATTTTATTTGTTTATGCTGTATGCTTATTTCCTGTTTGTTTTTCATATATAGGATTACTAATTACAGCTACTACCGGAGGCTTCTGTCTCCTTTCAGGTTATTGTAATATGGGGCATTGTACTATATACACGATTATTCACAGAACATGCATTTCCAGCAGTTGAATTGCTGGATCTGCTCTAAATGATCTATGGCCATTACAGCTGGGACTGTACAGTGCAGCTATAATTTTGGTGCATATTAATAACCACGTAGCAAAGAGGTAAATGCCCTTTCCTCTGCTGGGGAGCAGAATGATCGGCTGGATGTATTCAACTGGGCAAACGGGGCTGCAATTGTCAAAGGGGTGATCTATTAGAAATGTTTCTCCCTGCTTTATTGCGTGCAGCAAAACTCTGAAAGAAATATGATCAAATGAGAAACTAGCTGCAGCCCTGCAGAAGTGGGGGGAGGGAGGAAAAGAGGGGATCATTCGTGTGCCCCCTTTTCAGGGGGCTTATCCGCTCCCACCCAACAACCTGCTGCAGTGTCTTTTTCCTCCACCAGTTCCGCTGATCAGTGCAGATGCTGTCAAATTTCACGGAGCACCACCACCACCACTAGTAATTAATCCTCCTCTCCCCAAACCTGTGCTAAACTGTCTTCCAGCCTCAAGGGGCCACTTTTTTTTTTTTTTTGGAGTGGGGTGGAGGGGCGCGGAAAGGAGATGGTGGGGGGTGTCAGCCAAGCCCAAGAAATTGCCCGAGATTAATGAGCCTTTTCCTTATTAGTGTGTTCCTGGGCTTTGTTTGCTCGGGGCTGGGCGGGGGGGGGGGCAGCGTGAATGGATGGCACAACCTGCAGGAAACACACACACACACACACTACACGCGCTGCAGCTCGGGCAGCGCCTCTCCCGCTCCGCTGCGTGAGGGTGAGGAAGGGAGGGGGGCGACCCGGCCAATGGCAGCGGCCGCGGCGGAGTCGCCGGCAGCTGCGGCGGCCGGGGTCGAGCCAGCAGCATGAGCCCGGGAAGCGCGCGGGGAGCGGAGCGGAGCCGGCGCGAGCAGAACGCGCTGCCTCGGGTCCCAGGCGCCGCGCGCCGCAGCGTGGGCGGGGAGAGGGAGAAAGAGAGGGAGCCTCGCGGGCGGGCAGCGCAGACGGCGGGCGCGCGAGCCAGCGAGCGCTCAGAGCCGGAGTCGGGGCTCGAGCGAGAGGACAGGCAGCGAGAGAGGGGTTAGCGCAGGGCGGACAGACAGAGGGATACATAAAGGGCAGGGAGAGGGAGGGACAGACAGCGGCACAGCAGCGAGAGGGAGACAAGAGGCAGCGGGAGCCAGCTGGGCGAGTCACACAGACCCACGCGCCCAGAGAAGTAGCGTCTCCTCCCGAGTAGCAAAGGGGGCGAGGAGGAGGAGGAGGAGCAGGAGGCAGAGACCATGTCTTTCAGGAAGACCGCCACTGTACTGTAACAGCACCGCAGCTGCAGCAACATAAACACACACGCCAAAAAAGCCCCACACCGCCCAGAAGCTGGGGGCAGATCCAGTTTGCAGGCAAGGTAAATCCGAAAAGCTGTGGACCATCCGTGTGCTGTGTGTTCTTTGTTGTTATGATGTTGTCTCCCCCACCCCACCCCTCGCATGTGTTTTCTGTCATTTTGTTGCAATCATCCGCACCCTCCCCCCAATTTTTAATTTTTGAGGCCAGCGTGGCTTAAATGTTGGAGATTGAGGAGCAGAGAAACAGGAGCTGTGCATAGAACAAAGGTTTGTGTTTATTGCGTGCAATATGCAATGAGCTAAGGTGACTTCAAGGCTCCTACTTTAAGATGTGATATTTACAACAGCATTAGATTCACATTTTAGTGGAAGAGGGGAAATTAGTTCTGCAGTTGCTAGACTGGTAGCTGAGTATTGCACAGGAGCACTGTAGTATTTGGGTTTTTACAAAATAAAATACGAATTTGCTATTAAAGAAGACTGTTTTAATTTATTTATTGATGGTGTTGTATGTAGTGTTCTTCTACCTTGTGTAGCGTTCACATGGAAAGATATGGACAGATGTTTAGAAAGTTTTCATGGTGAGGTCGGACACATTTCTGATAGCTAAATATGAAGTGGATGCTATATGCAGTGTTATTATTCAGACCATAAATGTTTCATTTGCGTTGCATAGTAAATAACAGATGGCAGATAATTTAAGGATTATATTAAAACTGGGGGGAAATACAAACGTAAAGATGATCAAAGTGATAATAGGTGCTGCAGGAGCTTCCAGGAGCATTGTTTTACGATAGGGCAGTTTGGGTAATAGTAGTTCTGTCCAATTTTAGTAAGTTAAAATAATTAGCCTGAGTCTGCTTTTCAGAAATTGAGTTCAACCTTATCGAGAAATTTAAAATCTGTATTTTAATAAGAAATACAGAAAGACGTAGTAATTCTAACAACTCTTTTAGTAATCAAAGCTTTAAAAACTTGTGACTTGTGAAAATTAATGAAAAAATTGGAATGATTTTTGCATTATCTTTGCTAGAAGAAAAACATTTGGGACGGTTTAATACTTGAGTGTTCCTATTGGGTAGTCATTTTGTTTGGCAAAACATGTACCATGTGCTTTGTTAGCATCATTATTTTATAAGATTGTGATCATGCAAGAAAATAATAGTCTGGAAACCATATGTTTATTGTTAAAAATTTTAGCTGTTTACCATGTTCATAAATAGTGAATGTTACCGTGCTGCTACTGTTTATTAAAATTTTGCATATTTGAATGTGTATTGTTTCAACTGCATTGTTTATATCTATAAACAAGGCATGCACTCATTCAGTGCACCCATTCTTGTGCAACTTTGTTAATGTTGTTGTTATTGTTATTTATTTTACTTACTGTTTCAACCACCTGGAATATCTCTACATTTCTGGTTCATGTTTCTATAGTGGGTCTGTTGTCCCCCCGCTCCTCAGGTGTATACATTGCCTTTTTTAAAAAATGAATCCCAGTGTTACTGTAACATGACAGTCCTGTAAACATATTGAGTAATGAAACCAAATGAGTAGATATCAACGCAGTAGGTGGGTTGATTTGCCGCTGTGATGCTTCTGACCACTGCGCTTAACTAGATGTATGAATCAATATGTATTTCTCTTACAATCCTCCAAAATTGACTCTGCAAATTTTAACCAAGTACGAACAATTAAAGTAAGTTGTTGGGGATGGGAGGGAGAAAAATTGTTAAGCTGGCCTTCAACTTTTCAGTCACATAATTTAACTGCACACTAATTTTTGTTTTAACAGTCTTCATCATGGATCGAGGCAAGTTTGTGTGCACAATTAGGCTTGCAAATTACTAATCTCACCTTGACTTTGCCTCTCAGTTCCCAACTGAGCATGGTTACCTTGAGAACTGTGGCATTAGCACTGTTAGAGCATGCTCTGCTTGGGAGTTCGGGTGTGTTCTATTTTTAATGCTATTTAATGAAGAAGCTTCTCACTCTGCAATGAAGGAAGCATAATGGAAGAGCAGAGCAATGGTTGGTTATGGATACTGAAAAAGGAAAATTGCAAAGGTAAAAGCAGACAATGAGATATGGTGAATAATATTCAAATCCTTTCAGTATATTTATATTAGTCTAAGATAAATGAAAATTCAATTGTAAGAAAAAGCTGATTGATTCGATGTTTTAAATAAACGTTTTTTTGGGGGGGTGTCTAAAAAGAATGTTTAAAAATAAAAAAGTACCTTAAAAGTTGTAGAAGACATAAATGGTGGATAGAAATTGTTGCTTTACGGAACTGTTGATTAATCTGTATATTCTGACATTATACAGATATATTATCTAACGAAAATTATGCCATTTTGATGCAGATCATTTCATGGTGAAATGTTTAATGATGAAATAACATTATTTTAAGAAATATTTTTAAATGTACCTGTTTTCTTGTGAATTTAGTGCTTACGTCTGTTGTTTAAAATTTGTACATTTTATGGCGATAGCAATCGGAAGCAGAAGTTTCTGAGTTTTTCTGTCTTTCAGTACTTAAAAGTTGTTTCAGTGAATATCGCATAGCATGTAATATTTTCAGAAAGCAAACCACTCTAAACCTGGAGTGATATATGTGAGGAAAAGAAAATACCTATAGACTTATTACAGTGAATATCATTATGCAAATGTCTTTAGATACTCTTTTAAAATGCTTTTTTTTACGGGGAAGTGTTTCATAAATCTTAGCCAGAAAAATATTCACTGGCTATTTGCAGCAATCCACATATCCAGCATCGTATAAAGAGGCTAGTCCTTGATTAAAGATGTCACACACAAAATAATTTTGTTCCCCTGCTACTGTCCCTACAATATTACAAAATATTGGTCTAAGTAATTTTTGAAAGGTCCAATCCTGCTAACATTCATGAAGCTAGTCCTTAAATCTGTGTAGTCCTGTTGATTCCCTCAGGGTTAAGAATGCAAGTAAGGGATGCTCACTTGAGCAAGGGTTTGTGAGATCAGACCCTAGGAAACGAAATGACATAGACAATATAAAGAACAGAATTAAATCAATGAGAACATTAACACAATTCTCATTGTAGGAAATAACTCAAATATAGTATAAAAAAGTGTCTTTGAAACTTGATCCATGCAGAGTATTGAGACACCAAATTGTGCTCACTCTAAGGATTCAGGTTATCCCGAAGACCTCACTGGGACTACTTGCGTGAGTAAGGCAAGCAGCAGTTGGCCTAATAAAACACTAATATGGGGTAGCGAAAAAAAGAAAACTGAAAAGATATAAGAAGTTTTAAACTACAATACGTTCTTGGTTTCCACCCAGTTAAAGGGTCGTATGGTTTAATCAAGTATTTTAGCTTAGAATTATGAGTACACTTGTTGAAAGTGATTCTAGAATTAGTGTTCCTTTTTAATCTTGAATTCCTTGTGCACACAAAGCTCCCAGTACATAGAAGGAATGTGGGATCTTGTCCAAAGGTTGCATCAGTGTCCCAAATACCGGGACGAATCTTTAGCTGCTGTAAATTGGTGTAGCTCCATTGACTTTAGTAGAGCTGTGTTGATTTGCACCAGCTGATGATCTGGCCTGCCATTTATAATGTTCCAGGTTCGACTATCCAGATTCACATTGAGTAGCAGCTTACTCCATGAGTAGCACCATGGATTTCTGTGGATTAGTTGCAGAGAAAGGAATTATATAGCGTATGCAAGGTTGGCAGTACCTGGCATATAGGGAGTACTCCCAAAATAATGGCTTGGTACAAAGCTTGTTGAAGACAATGGGAGTCTTTTTAGCCCAATGTCTTTATTTAGATGTAAAGAGAATTTGAAACTCAAATGATCATTTAAAGGGAATGCTATGAATTTTCAATTAATTTATTATTAAAGATTGGTCAGTTGAAAAGTAATGTAACTGCAGTACCAATCAACTTGTAAAATCTTTTTGTCCCTTTGCTCATTCATTTATGAGATGTGAAGTTTTGTTCTGTGCAGGTAGTAACTCAAGCAAGCGGGTCATTGTTTTACATCCTGAAGAATGAAACATATATTAAATTAAAAGGAATAAGTGCGAAGGATTGTGTAAATTCCAGCGGAAAGAGAGCGGTTCTGAAGAAGTCCTAGAAATACTAGATACAGACAAGCATATCTTTGCATATGGTAATGTGCACTTCTGTAGTACTTTCCATCCCAAAGCTTGCTTAATTAAGCCTTACACCATCCCTGTGACACAGGTAAGTATGACTTTCCCCATTGTAAGAGTGGGTAAACTGAGGCACAACGTGATTAAGCGACCTGTCCAAACTCACATAGCTAGTTTGTGACACAGCCTGAAAAAGAACCCTGTCCCAACTCCCATTCCTGTGCTTTAACTACCAGACCATGTTTTCTGTCTTATTGCCGTTGGTTTGTTTTTCAAAGTTTACCGCTTTTGATATGCTGACAAGATGGCTTTCAGAAAGACATAGATGAAAATAAAACTACATTAAAAATCACGTGTGTATAGTAGTACAATTTTATGATTTTTGCTTTTTTTTTTTTTTTTTTTTTAAATTGTGCCTAACTGGTAAATGAGGCACCTTTGACACAAGTAATCAATGGTATGGATAACTGATACTTTTAATTTTTTATGGATAGCACATCTATATTCCCATTGGTACCCTGTTGTAAGTTATGAATTGGATAGTTGATAATTCCACGTTGAGAAATGTTTCCAGTAGGATACTTATTATAGGGCAGTACCGCAAACTCCACCACAAGGTTAACTGCTTGCTAGCTGGAAAGGTCACCATTATAATGCTGCCATAATTATGGTATGTGTGTGTATGCTTTTCTAGAAAAATAAAAGACAGGTGAAGATTATGGTACTGTTTTTTATTGGGGCAGTGGATAACTTACTTGTACATTCTGTTCTTGTGGAATTTGTACCAATATGTCTATGGAGGCCCAAAATACTTAGGTATAACATTTACATATAGCTACTTGTATTTGCTTGACTTGGGTTTCCAGTTTGAATACCTCCAATTGTAGATTCCATGGATTAGAACAAGTGGTGGATGTACGCTACGTAAATTTGTCAGTAACATTTTCCTGCATATGGTTTCTCTGTAAGTATAATGTTTTCTATATCTTTCCTTTTAGCTTGATTTTTGTTTAGAATCTAAGAACACACAAAACATCCACACAAATGCTTAATGTTTCCCATATCTGCTCATAAAGCTAATGAAAAGAGACTGTGGTTGAGAGTGACACTTCTGCAAAAAAAATTCCATAGGGTCCTCATAAAATTGTCTTAACACAAGCTTTTTGTTAATTATATTATAGTTTTGTGTACCTAGCTCTCTTTTTATTACACAGTTTCCAGTCTTTCCAATAATACTTCAGTAATAAATCCTTTAATTTGTTCTAGGAGAAGGATATTACTGGAAAGCTGTCCCTTTTAAAAATGTGTTTACTATTTTTGATCATACAATGGTATATTTAATGGAATTATTTTAGATATATCTAGATACCAAAATAATATACTAAGCCAGTATCTGAAAACAAATTGTCATATGATTGTTTATTTGCATTTCTACTCCTAAATTAACTCTTCCTAATGGGAAAGGAAAGCTGGAATAAATAAAATAAATAAGACTTTAGACTTTATAGGCATCAGTTAAGGGAATTTTAAGATTAAGTGGCTAGTCACCATTGTGATAAGCATGGTTGAAAATCTTAGATACTGTAATATGTTCTTCTACTACATTCTCAAGAAGCCATGAAGCTTTTTTTTCTATACAGATATAATACAACACAATTTTAACTGAAACACGCACGCACGCAGCAATGTCTGGGAACACATTTATGGTTTGGATCGCTAGTGTTGTTGTAAAGCAATGGATTTCTGAGTAATTTGTAAGAAAATATAGGTTTCTAGATCCAATAACTGTATATCGCTGTTCTCATGGCAAAATTTCTTTGTGATCGTTCACATACTGTATATTAAACTGTGTGAGAGGAAAAGTAAATTTTTTTTGGTAAGTGAAACACAAAGAGCTGCCCACAGAGAAACTGGCACATTGTTATTGTACTTGCAGTGAATAAGACATCTGCTTCTGATCTTCCTTCCAGGTGGTGATTCACAATTTAAAGGGGGGGGGGGGGCGGGGAGAGGGGAGGCAAGGTACTAAAAAACCCCAACTGTCAAAAAAAAGCCCTCCAGTATCTTAGTGCAGGTTGGTATGTTTCCAGTTTTGTTTTAGGCAGTATATCAACTACAGGTACTGTATAAACATTTAATAAATATTAAAGCTGTATGAGCTTGGAAAAGTCCCCCAGATGTGTAAAAGCTACCTTTTTTCTAAACCAGAAGTCCTCAAGCTTGTGAATCGAAGGAAGGCTTAACTGGACAGTAGAAGAGTGTCGGGGGGGAGAATCACTTAAATGCACAATTTTTTGTTTCAGGCTCACAAAGTTTTGCTGTCTTTTGTCCTGTTGTTGTGTTCTCACTCTGTGCTAAAATACCCAAATCAAATATGTGAACATCCAGTTGCTTGCAGGCTTCTTTTTATCCAGTACCTAATTGGCAAAAAGCAGTGATTTCACTGGATTTGTGAAAATAAGGCTTCTGAATCTAATGTGAATCCTGCGATCAACAGCACACTTGTACATTTTAATTTCCTGTGCATTGCAGTGTTTTTTATATTTTTGTTGCATTATGAGTTGAACTCTTAGTTATATTGAACCCAGTAGATATACTTAGAACATACTGCAAATTCTGTCATTTTACAGCAATGGTTTTCAACCTTTTTTTCATTTGTGGACCCCCTAAAAAATTTTGAATGGAGGTGCAGACTACTTTGTAAATCTTAGACATAGCCTGCGGACCCCTGGGCGTCCATGTACCACAGGTTGAACACCACTGATTTACAGAATAAGGATCAGGTAATAATAGCTTTACTCATGGTGAGTCTTATTGACTGTAATGGGGCTTCTTGTGATGCAACACCCTGTTTAGGATCAGCCAAGGTGTCACAATGTGGCCCAAAGTAAAGAGAATGTGACAGAACTTTTTCTGATGA